AGGGTGAGAGTTCTCTTAGCTCTATATCCACAGTAACTAACACTTTGGTATTATCTGAATTATGAATTTCTGTCATCTTGTAAGTATGAAATGGTATCAATTGGTTTTTATTTTGAACTTTTCTTATTACTAATGAGGTTGCACATCTTTTCACATGTTTTAAGGCTATTTGTATTAACTTCCTCTGTTGTGAAACTTCTATGTATTTTAAATTCATTGCCATTGAAGTGTTTAAATTGGGAAGGACTTGGTCAGATGTGCATTTTAAATAATGACAATTGTTCATTTCAAGCTTTTATTAAGGATATTGGGAAGTGAACGATATATGAAGATTAGCTAATTCTCTGTGATTTCATCCAGAAACAGCCAAGTATAAGAAGCAGAAAGCAGGTGTACCTCACTGGGGTGGATAACATGGATTATCAAGACCTACTTCTGCAGAAGAATCTCCTGATAAGATTGTAAAACAAAGATTCTTGTGCCTCAGCCCAGAGCTTCAGATTCAGTAGGTCTGGGGTGGAGGCCAGGAATTACATTTCTTTCTTTTTTTTTTAATATATTTTTATTGATTTCAGAGAGGAAGGTAGAGGGAGAGATAGAAACATCAATGATGAGAGAGAATCATTGATTGGCTGCCTCTTGCACGCCCCCCACCCCCCACTGGGGATCGAGCCTGCAACCCGGATATGTTCCCTTGGCCACAATCAAACCTGGGACCCTTCAGTCCACAGGCCAACGCTCTATCCCAAACCGGCTAGGGCAAGAATTACATTTCTAACACACTCGCAGCTTATGCTCCTGCTGCAGGCCTATGTATCGTACCTTTGAATAGTACTAATGTAAGTTATAGCTGTTGGATTTAAGAGGTTCCTAAAATCCAGGACCAAGAGTTTTAATAAATGCTATGGGAGATAATTTATGGCCCTTCAGAGGCATTTTGTTCTGATGAAAGGAGACCTTTATGTCCCCTTAAGCAAGTCACTAATCTTTTTGGTCTGAATGTCTTTTATGAAATGGGAAAAATTATGCTGGTTCTTCCTACCTTTCATGGTTATCATGAAGGGTATACAGAAATAACTCTTTGGAAACACTAAAACCTTATACCAGTGATTATTAACTGAAAGTGTACACCAGAGTATCAGCTTTTAAAAATTTTATGTACATACACAGATATGCAAATATAGTATATACATATATACACTTACTTAGACTTCACTTGCATAAAATTTGAAAGGTTGCTTATCTATATATAAAAGGCTAAAATGCAAAGTGTCCCCTCGGGAGTTCGATCGCTCACTATGATGTGCGCTGACCACCAGGGGACAGCATGGAACAAAGGAAGGCCCCCATCAGCCCCGATTGCCGGCCACACCTACAGACCCTACTATGCATATAAATGTCCAAAAGTGGGCTAAAATCTGATGTGTGTTTTGTTTTGTTTTTCCTGTAGATGAATCAGAACTCCTCACTGTTCCTGATGGTTGGAAGGAACCAGCTTTTTCCAAAGAGGACAATCCCAGAGGACTCTTGGAGGAAAGCAGTTTTGCAACTTTGTTCCCAAAATATAGAGAAGCTTACTTGAAAGAGTGCTGGCCCTTGGTTCAAAAAGCCTTGAATGAACATGTATGCATATTTTATATATTTCTTTGAGATTTTGCTCCTGCTTATACCTTGACTTTTAAGTAAATGTATGTGTGCTGATGGATTTTTTTAAGGTGCCAGCATAATTGACTAATTTGGTTCCTTTGGTATTTTAGATATATATTTTATTGATTTTTTTACAGAGGAGAAGGGAGAGGAATAGAGAGTTAGAAACATCGATGAGAGAGAAACATCGATCAGCTGTCTCCTGCACGCTCCCCACTGGGGATGTGCCCACAACCAAGGTACATGCCCTTGACCGGAATCGAACCTGGGACCCCTCAGTACGCAGGCTGACGCTCCATCCACTGAGCCAAACCGGTTAGGGCTCCTTTGGTATTTTAAACAGCCTACATAAGCTTTATTCTTGTAATACATGTGTTTTTAATTTTGTGAATAATAGATTACTGAAAAATACACATACCTTTAAAATTGTAGGGATTTGATGGACTGTCTGAAACTCCTCTGTGAACTCCAAGTTTCAGAATGCCTATTCTGTACTATGGTGGTTTTCACAAACCTGCACAGTTTGAGTTGGGCATGTTTCTGTCTAATTGCTTAATTTTCATTTTAAATGAAAGATGTGGATGTGCCATCTTTTGCCTATTTGTTGCTGCTGCCATGCCCCTAGAGTGAAGTATGTGTTATTTCAAACGTGGCCTGAATCCGATTAGCGGATCCAGAAGTCAATTTAGTGGACATAAGGAGTCTTTAAAATATGAATGTGTCACATGTGGTAAGGATGATTTTATGAATATTTTGATTCATTTTAAGTGTATACTAGAGGCCCAGTGCACGAATTCGTGCACCAGTAGGGTCCCTCATCCTGGCCTGTGGGATCGGGCTGAAACCGGCTCTCCAACATCCCCCAAGGGTCCCAGATTGCAGAGGGCGCAGGCCAGGCCAAAGGACCCCAC